GGTGACAGTCACGCCGAGCTCCATGCTGCCTCCGCCTGGGAGTCGTCACTTGGTGCTCGCCTCCCGGTGAGGGACCGGCCGCGCCCCGCAGCGGCCTCGGGAGCTGCGCCGTGGCTGTGAGCTCAACCTCCACGCAGCCGGGCTCCAGGCTGCTCCAGTCTGTGCAGCCCTTCCCCGCCCCCGGGAGCTGGGAAACGCAGAGGCGGGAACACAGGTTCGCCTGCCGGAACTGTCTCTGGAGGTGGCTCACAACAAGCAGCATTTTTGCCCTGTCCGGGTACTCGGTTTGATTAGAGTCTCATCCCCATAAACTAACATTACAGGTTCCATCCCTGGTCAGAGCACAGACAAGAATTAACCAATGAATTTATAGGTAAGTGGAATAATAAACCAATGTTTCTATCTCTAAAGTGAATAATTTAAAAATCGACCTTTCAAAAAAGCTGCACTTCACCAGGCAGCTGGACAATCCTGGTACACACTCCAATTCCTGACTCGCTGATCTGAAGAGATCCTGCTGTTTCTCGGGAAAAGGTGGAGGCCACTTGTGCGGGGCCAGCACAGCAAGGGTTTGGCAAGCCTGAGGGAGGGATGCAAAGGATTAAAGAAAAGACAGACAGTAAGCTGGGTCCAGGTGGATCAGCTGTGCCTGGATGAGGCCACAGAGACATCCAAATGCCAGAGGTAAACAAGGTAGTGGTCACCATGGTTACAATGTTCTCGTGAGTTTCACTTGTTTTGGCAGCACTTGCTGCACCTCCCACAGCCCATTAGCTACCCAGGAAGGATCTATGGGGCTCATAAAGTCAAGCTTAATTATGCTAAGCGGGCTCTGCCGTCCAGGCTGGGACTTATTTGGGGCTCTGCCATCTCTCAGTCCCAGGCTAAGCCCTATAGCCGCTCCCGATAGCCACTATGCTATGTTTGGAAGGAGCTGGAGTAGGGTGGTCAGTGGTGTTCCAGGGACGCTTCCCCTTTTGTGTCCTTCAGTGCCACCTCAAGAGTGTTAGGTTTGATTAAATAATTGAATGGATATCCCCTCCCCTGGCAACGACCTTTACACCAGCATTCCCTTTTGCTCAGTACTTGCTAAAACCACTATCTTTCCCCGGAGGACCCACCCAGAGAATTTTCTGCCCAGAAAAAGCCCATCTAGAGTCCTTTAAAACTTGGGACTCCCCACCCCTGGGGGCTAGCACCATTTTGGGGCTCAGCCCATCTGGTTTCCAGATGACCTAATAAATTCACAATTCTTTACCCCTTTTGGCCTCCTGTGTTCCTCCTTCGGCGACCCTAACATTTGGTGCCAAAACCTGGGAGGGTTCCATGGGGAAGGGGAGCCATCGCCCCAGCTTGGATCACCCTGAGTTTGCTACTCGAAGAGCAGTAGGCAGCGGCAGCTCCACTTGGGCTTACCTCCAGATCCTACTTGGGTGACTGTTGTGGGGTCGAACCCTGGGTTCAAAATAAGACCACCGGAGGCCGATAATTTATTTTAAAAAGCAAACAAGGATTTATTGAGCTGGCCAGGGCAGCTGTAAGAGTACCACACGCAGGTGGATCCTACGTAACTGTGAGGCTTTAGGGGTAGGTAGTTATTTTTAAAGGTTCTGAGAAGGAAAACCCCCATTCTACAACAAACTGTTGTTTGGAATTTTCTGCTGTTCTTCCTAGATAAAATGTTGCTTTCTAGTTTGCTTTAGCCTGTTTGAAGAATGATGAAGACAAACCTAGCTGTCTGACCTTGCAGGCCAGAGACCAGATATGCCCACAATCTCAATACCATGCCAGGTGCACTTTTCTTAATTGGACAGAACAGCATTGTTTTCGAGGCCAGCATCGAGATAACCACTAAGTGTACATAGGGCTGGCTCTTTAATGAAAAAGAAAGTTCTGCCTGTAACCTTGCCCAGAACTTAAACTCATCCTCCTAAGCCCATTGTGCGATGAACAAAGCAAGTAAGTGAAGGTCAAAGTCAGAATAGTAGGGTTAAAATTCAAACAGTAGTTTTTACCCAAGTATGATTGCTACCATATTTCAGTGACATAATTGCCAGCCTGGATTAGGCCTCCCTCCCCTAAGGCCCTCCTCAACCAGCCAAGGAAGATGCCAGGTGGGGACCACTCCTTCCCATTGTTGACCCCCCACTCAACACTGCTTCATTTCCGCTCAGGGAGATGATAATTGGATCACACCACCGGATTTCTGATTTGCTCTCATCTCAAAAGACATAGTGCTAGGCAAGAAATCCTCTTCAGCTTGGCTTCGCCCCGGGACCAGATCCCACTGTCTTCCTTGTCACAAGGGACGCCTGCCACATGGATTAGACTGTTCTCCTCTCTCCAGAGCCTGACAAGATGATGGGGATGCCCTCCCTCTAGTCTTGTTCCCTGATCTCCCTTTGTTGCTTACCTCCTCTTCCTAACTTACACCACAGGGAATTTTTTTCCATCCCCCCAGAAAACACTCCTCTGGGATGTCTCCTCCATAATCTGAACAGCCTTCCCATGGAGGTCCGGACAAAGCACCTTATCCACAAGATAAGTTAGACCATGATTCACACTGGCCAGAGATTTTAACATTCTCCAGGACTTAACTTTTGTCACCGCAATGGGAAGTTGTCAGAGATCTCCTATCCCCAGGCCTTATTTGCAGTCTGCAATTACCCTTCTCTCTCCTCCTTACCAAGCCCCCCTCTTGCTTGTTCCCAGACAGCCCAGTGTCCAGTCCTCTGTCCTGCCCTTCTGGGAGGTGACCAGAGCCAAGAGAATTGTCCAGGTACACATCCCATTTTCCATTTCCAACCTCGCACAGATTGAGAGGCATGACCCCACCGCCTTTACTAAGGAATCTGAGTACATAACCTGACCTGGCATGACGTCTGTGTCATCCTGTCCTCTCTCACCCTAGAGAAGAAGGAGCACATCTGGGCTAGGAGCTCATGACCATGCCATGCCCTCCAAAGAGATGATGCTGACATGGTCCCCCAAACTGATGTGAAATTGGACTATTAGGTTAATTCAGGGCACTGGCTCTGTACCCATAGAATCAACTGACTCATTGCCAGACCCCACCTGCCCAGAGGGAATCCTTCTGAACACCTATTTTATATCCCAATAAACCCCCAATATATGCTGCAAATTTCAGAGAGACAGGTTCACAAACCCTTCAAAAAGACCTTGTTAACCTGCCCTTTAAGGTCTTGAATAGAGAGGCGGAGACTCAGGATAGTCACCGAATGGGCCATCCTGGAAATGGACTCACTGGCTGCAGCAGAGCCACACCCACTACACCACAAGGAGATGAATAGTCCCCAAGGAGTCTGACCAAATTGGTTTCTGTAAGTGATTGCTGGGGAGATAACCTGTTACACAGGAATAGATAATGTGTAAATGAAATATACATCAACACAAGGTGGACGTTGGATTCTTTATCCTGCTGAGTGGTTGTTTCCATTTCCTGTGAATTTTGAATACTGGAAACACAGGACTGACTCTTAGTTCCTTGGACCCTGTTTATTCAATGAAAATCCCTTGGGATTTATACATAGTTTTTAAAAAAATATATATTTTATTGATTTTTTTTTTTACAGAGAGGAAGGGAGAGGGATATAGTTAGAAACATCGATGGAAGAGAAACATTGACCAGCTGCCTCCTGCACACCTCCCACCAGGTATGCCTGCAACCAATGTACATGCCCTTGACTGGAACTGAACCTGGGACCTTTCTGTCCGCAGGCTGATGCTCTACCCACTGAGCCAAACTGGTTTTGGCCAACACATTTTTTTTTTTTTTAATGTTATATTTTTAACTGATTTTTAGAGACAGAAAGGGAGAGAAACATTGGTGTGAGGGAGACATCAATTGGTTGCCTCCTTTCTAGATCATGACTGAGGATCGAACCTGCAACCTGGGTATGTGCCCTGACAGGGAATCAAATGGAGACCTTTTGGTGCATGAGACCATGTTCAATCAACTAAGCCACACAAGCCAAGGCTAACATACTTTTGTACAGAGCCAAGTTTGATAGGATAATCTTCATTCTTGTCCCGTTTAGTAAGGTATTAAATCTGCCTCCCTATAGGGACTTAGGGTCCTATTCCTGTGATTACATACCTTTCAAACACTTGGATTTCCCATAAGCCTCTGCTCTAACTAGAATTGTGGGATTGATGGGCTTGTCTCTATCAATTCCTGGAGGCGAAGGATAGGAAGACTATTTGCTGTCCTTTTCTGGTCTTCCCAGAACTCTCCTAGAACGTTGGTCTGGAATGTCCTGCATTTCAGTTCGTTACTTACCTGAAAGCAAGTTTAAAACTCAAGTTTGACTTTTGTTCAATCTCTTAAAACAAAAAACACAGAATGGAGGTAAAGTGTACTTGGCACAATCCAAAATAATCAAGTAGCCAAAGTTCACGCAAAACCTAACGTGAAAACCACAATTGCTCTGACCCATATATTTTATAATTTAAAAAATATATATTTATTGATTTTAGAGAGGAAGGGAGAGGTAGAGACAGACAGAAACATCAATGATGAAAAGGAATCATTGATTGGCCACCTTCTGCACACCCCACTGGGGACTGAGCCCGCATGCGCCCTGACCAGGAATCCAAACTGTGACCTCCTGGTTCATAGGTTGACGCTCAACCCCTGAGCCACGCTGGCAAGGCTGAGCCATATATTTATAAAAGGCTTTGTGTAAACCTTGCAACAGAAGATGCCCATTCGTCACTGAGGATGGAAGGCAACAAGATTATATACAAAAAGTTTTCTTCTTTTTGAGGGACTCATGTGCTTCATTAAAAAATAAAGTTCAGTTTAATTTTTTTGAAGTACTTAGGTATAAATAGAGAAAAATCTACAGAAAAACATAGCAATAACAAACAGAAGGGTATCCATTAGCCAGGTTTTGTTAGCTAAAATTATTTTCTAGGTCACCCAATTTCCACAGGTGAATCTTGTTCACAATCAGTATCAAAACACATAATTACACTTTTTATTTTGGCTTCACTCTCCTTTTGGCATCTTTATGTTTCTTCCGGCAATCCTATAAAAACATAAAAGTAAATGTAAGTTATTTTCAGGAAGTTCAGTAACCATACAGTAAAAGTTAGTGTCATGGTTGTGGAGACCATTGTGGAAGTGTTCACTTGGAATGAACAGGGACGATTCAAACGGTGGGTGCTAAGTGTGATATCAGAAACTCACAGGGTCTTTCAGAAGTCCCTGACTCCCTGCTACTTAATGAAGCCTGGAACTCGGACCAGGGACTGGATTAAGACGGTCTTGTCTCTTCACTTGTATCGTGTGTGTGGCATCAAACAACCTCAAAGTTCCCTCCAGCATTGTAATTCTAAGCGTTTAAATCATGTTTTCAGTCGTCATTCTTTGTATTAGATTTCATACCTCATGCCATTATTCTTTTTCTTTTCTTTTCTTTTCTTAAATATTCTAGCCCTAGCTGGTTTGGCTCAATGAATAGAGCATCAGTCTGTGGACTGAAGGGCACATGCCTGGGTTGCAGGCTTGATCAACAGTAGGGGGAAAGCAGGAGGCAGCCAATCAAAGATTCTATCTCATCATTGATGTTTCTATCCCTTTCTCCCTCTCCCTTCCTCTTTAAAAGCAATAAAATATATTTAAAAACATATATTTTATTGATTTTTTTACAGAAAGGAAGGGAGAGGGATGTAGAGTTAGAACCATCAATCAGCTGCTTCCTGTACACCACCTATTGGGGATGTGCCCAAAACCAAGGTACATGCCCTTGACCGGAATCGAACCTGGAACCTTCAGTCCATAGGCTGATGCTCTATTCACTGGGCCAAACCGGTTTTGGCATGCCAGTATTCTTACAAAAGGCATACATTAATACAAAGATAACAAAGTATCTATTTATGCAGACAATGCGAAAATACAAATACTCACCATACGCAGATTGTTTGTTCTGGTCTCCCAAGAATTCCTACTAATATTACTTCCCATTCCTCTCCAGAATAAGTCAGAACCTACTCAGGGAAGATAAAGCAAGATAAGAAAACAAATTACTATAAAAAAGGGTACTATTCTACTGCTGACATTTTCAAGGTCTTTAATTCTAGTTAGGACCTATGGAAACAACCATGAATTTATGCTAATTTTTCAAGTTTGTTATTATTTTTAAGTAATTTTTAATTTTTCAATAACATTTCACATACATTATATTAGTTTCAAGTGTATACCCTGGTGATTAGACCTATAACTTCTTAAGTGACCATCTTGATAAAACATCTTAAGTACCCATTTAACATCAAAGTTACTAGTGTCAAATACATTACATCCCAGTGATTATATTGTAATACATATTTCACACATTGCCCCAACATCCATCCCATCTAGCAACTATCAAAATGTTTTCTGCATCTATGAGTCTGTTTCTTTTCTTTTCTTTTTGGCCTCTGGAAAAGCTGGAAGACCGGCTGGACAAATTGAAAGAGTTATAAGCACTTATGAGTCTGTTTCTGTTCTGCTTGTTCATTTATTTTGTTTTTCAGATTCAATTAATTGTTGGTATGCATTTATTGCATTTTATTGTTCATATTTTTTATTTTAAAAACTTTCTCTAGTTAAAGAAGCCCTTTAACATTTCATGTAATATTGGTCTTGTTTGAGAAGCTCTTTATCTGTCCTTTAAGTCTAAATGATAGTTTTGCTGGATAGAGTATCTTGGTTGTAGGATCTTTTTGGTGTTATGGAGCATATTACAGATGTCCTCCATTTTCTCAACATTTCCCTCCTCAAACCTGCCCCCGTCCCATTCCAGGCAATCACCACACTACTATCTTTGTCTGTGGGCCATCTATATAGTCATATACATTATTTGGTTAAACTCTTACCTTACCTCTGAGATTCATCACTCTGTTCTATGCTTTCATGTCTCTGGACCTATTTTGTTTGTCAGTGTATTTTGTTCATTACATTCCACATAGAAATGAGGTCACATGATACTTATCTCTGTCTTACTGGCTTATTTTGCTTAGCATAATACTCTCCAGGTCCATTCAAGTTGTCACAAAGAATAGGAGATCCGTGTTTATTTACAACTGCTTAATATTCCATTGTGTAAATGTACCATAGCTATTTTATCCACTCATCTACTGATGGGCACTTGGGCTGTTTCCAGCTCAACACTAGTATGAACATAGGGATACATATTCATTAATTCCTGTTTCAGGATTTTTTTTTTTAATTTAAAAAAAATATATTTTATTGACCTTTTACAGAGAGGAAGAGAGAGGGATAGAGAGTTAGAAACATCGATGAGAGAGTCATCGATCAGCTGCCTCCTGCACACCTCCTACTGGGATGTGCCCGCAACCAAGGTACATGCCCTTGACCGGAATCGAAACTGGGACCCCTCAGTCCGCAGACTGACACTCTATCCACTGAGCCAAAACTGTTTTGGCCAGTTTCAGGATTCTTAGGACATAGTCCCAGCAGTGGCTAGCTGGGTCAAATGTCAGTTCCATTTTTTGTTTTTTAAGGAAATTTCATACTGTTTTCCACTATGGCTGTCCCAGTCTGCATTCCCACCAGCAATGGACTAAGTTTCCCTTTCTTCCACATCCTCCCCAGTAACTGTTACTTTTTGCAACCTGTTGCAAGTGTGAGTTAATACCTCAATGTCATTTTCATTTTCAAATCCATTGACTAGTGATGTTGAGCATTTTTTCACATTTCTTGGCCATCCATATGTCCACTTTGGAGAGTTTATATTCAGGTTCTTTACCCATTCCACCTTCCTTTTGTTGACTTGTAAAGTTCTTTATATATTTTGGGAATTAACCTGCTAACACCTGTACGTTCTCACATTTGATTCCCTTTGCATTTTGAGGATGGTTTCTTTTGCCATGTAGTTTTGTTTGATATGGTCCATTAATTTTTTCCTTTGTTTCACTCGCCTTAGTAGATGTACCAGTGAAAATTCTGGTACATGAGATGTCTGAGATTTTACTGCCTATGTTTGCTTCTAAGATTTTTATGGTTTTGTGTCTTATATTTCAGTGTTTCACCGAATATGAGTTTATATTCGTGTGTATGGTTTAAGTTTGTGGTGTCTTATATTTTTGTTGTTGCGTGTACCTATCCAATTTTCCAATACCATTTATTAGTCAGATAATCTTTACTCCATTGTATGCTCTTACCTCCTTTGTACAATACAACTAGACCAAAAAGACATGGGTTTAGAACCAAGATAGCGGCATAGGTAAACGCCTAACTGCAGCCTCACAAAACAATTTCAAAAAATACAAATAAAATATAAAGTGGACATTTCCCAGAACTACAGGAAAGTTGACTGACTGGAAATTCTACAACTAGAAGGAAAGAGAAAACCAGAAGGAAAATCAGAGGAGCTGTAAAAGACTGAGGAATGGAGACACGGTACACACATGAGGAGAGGATGGAGTCGGAGAGCAGGGGAGGCTGAGTGCCTGGTTGCTGTTCCTTAGCGGGAAGGAGATAAAAGCTCCGGACTGTGCTGAACCCCCTTCCTATTGCATTGAACCCTAGTTCTGGGCAAGACCCTGGGGTTCCAGGCTCAAACAGAGGGAATCTAGGCTGTAAGGCAGAAACTCAGGGGAGCGGCAAAAGGCAGAGCTCTGGAGGTGAGCATGTGAATACTTACAGAGGAGGGCCGTTGACTGTGCCGCTGGATTGCCTAGCGGGAAGGAGACAAAAGCTCGGGACTATGCTGAACCCCAGATCCCGGCTCATTCGGGGAGAGACTAGACTGTCTGGTAGCGGGCAAAACTTGAGGGCACCTTTCTCTTAAAGGTGCTTGCAGTGAGTACTGAAGGACACTGAGGAACACTGAGACTCGGGAACCTATAGGGCGGATGGGAAGCCAGGGCTGTAGGCTTCACCCTGAAACTCTGCCTCACCCAAGCTGAGCACAGAGGCCTTTGCAATTTTCCAAGTCTAGTCAAATAAGGCTGTCTCCTGGCACAGCTAATGCTCACAGCGAATTGGCCTGGAGATCAGTTCCTCCCAGTGATACCAACAACAATCAAGACTTAACTACAACAAGGCTGTACACACAGTCCCAAAAGGGGTGCACCAAGAGTGTCCACCTCAGATAACTGGGAGGCTGACCCACTGAATCATATAGGACACCTTAGCACACAAAGCCACCTACCAAATCAGGGAAGCAGCGAAAATGCCAAGACAAGGAAACAGATCATAAATGAAAGAAATGGACAACAATCAACTGGATGTAGAGTTCAAAACCACGGTTATAAGGTTTTTCAAGAATTTCTTAGAAAAGGCCAATAAAATAAACGAGACCTCTGAGGATATGAAAAGGGATCAACTAGAAATAAAGAATACATTGTCTGAAATAATAAATATTATACAGAGTCCTGAAAACAGAGTGGACCTATCAGGATCTCCAGCAGCCTCAGTCTCAATCCCTACTGGCCCTTAAAGGCTTAAGTTATGGGGAATTTTCTTCCTAACACTAGAACCCTGGGCTGAGGGGTCAGATGCAGGACTGTGACTCCTCAATCCAAAGGGAGGACCTCCGCATCTACAATATTCCTCCAGATTTATTTAAAAAATATATATATTTTATTGATTTTTTACAGAGAGAAAGAGAGAGGGACAGAGAGTTAGAAACATCGATGAGAGAGAATCATCGATCAGCTGCCTCTTGCACACCCCCTACTGGGGATGTGCCCACAACCAAGGTACATGCCCTTGACCAGAATCGAACCTGGGACCTTTTAGTCCGCAGGCCGACGCTCTATTCACTGAGCTAAACTAGTTTCGGCTTCCTCCAGATTTTTATCCACAAGTGGGTGTAGGACCAGCCAATTCTATCTCCACCCCTGCCACCAGTATTGATGTGGCTTCTCTATATCCTTAGTTGTAGGACTGCTGTTCAACTAAATTTCAGGGGGTTCTGAATGATGGCTATTCTGTAGTCTAGCTGTATCTGAGATAGGGCTGTCAGAAGATGTGAGTACCTATGCCACTAACTTGGCTCAGAACAATAGGTGTGATTCGGGTCTCCCTTCAGGCAGCTCCTGCACTCCCGGCAGTGCATGGAATCCCTGGGCACACGTCCCTGCTGTAGCTGGAAGAATTACAGCATTTCCATTTTGTAAAATAAAGACAAAATATTAAAAAAATATTTTGTCTTTATTTTACAAAACGGAAATGTAGAATTGTAAGGATTTTATTGTTTGTATGCTATTTACTATTATGTAACTTTTATGGTTTATGTTTGTGTTAGGCTTTAAGAAATGAGGTTTCAGTCGAAACCGGTTTGGCTCAGTGGATAGAGCATCGACCTGCGGACTGAAAGGTCCCAGGTTTGATTCCGGTCAAGGGCATGTACCTTGGTTGTGGCACATCCCCAGTAGGGAGTGTGCAAGAGGCAGCTAATTGATGGTTCTTTCTCATCGATGTTTCTAACTCTCTATCCCTCTCTTTTCCTCTCTGCAAAAAAAAATCAATAAAATATATATATTTTTAAAAAAAGAAAAAAAGAAAAAAAAAAAAAAGAAATGAGGTTTCACTTGAATTTTTAGGTAATAAAATAATAGGAGTGCTGTGTCTAGCATCTTCCCAAATCCTTGAAACTAAAAAAGACCTGTTGATGATAATAAATGAGGGAGGTGATAAAAGGAAACTCTCAGCCCTGTAGAACTTTAATGTCAACATGCACCAGTCTAACAGAGAAGGCTAAGCCACACGACGACACTGCAGAGAGTCAGGTTTTGTGCTGAAGAGCTCTTATATGGATGCATGTGATTGTATCAGAATGTGCAGTGGTGACTTAAAAAAAATTGACTTACCGAGAAGTCTTTCATCATTATTAGAGAAAAAAAAAAATCTAGTCGTCTCTTTCGCAGGTAATGATACTTCTCTGGAAAGACAGAGAGAGAGAGAGAGAGAGAGAGAGAGAGAGAGAGAGAGAGAAACATAGACATATATTGGTTAATTTCTATATTTGAGAAGTATTTACACTGAAAACATAAATTAACTATTCCTCAAATATATTTGTGTTTTGCTTATTTTGCTGAGATAAAGTAACCCGATGTTCTTTCTAGTCAATATTCTTGTCTTCTTTTGAAAGCTTTGATGATGAAGACTGTGTAAGCATACCACACTCTTCCTTTCCCACCTGGATGTTGATCCTACCATTGCTAGCTACTCCATTTATCAATATTTCCATGGATTGGCAGCCAGCCAGCCGTACTATCTTCTTTCCAGACTAGAGACTTCAGTGTTAGGCTCCCTTGCCTGTGAATAGCATAACCTCCACCCAGTACGAGCCATATTTCAAGAAAAGAAATATGCTCATTACAAAAAGGCTACAGAGCCCTCTAAATAAGCTGAGAGGAGAAAATTAAGTTGTCTTAAAACAATAAGCTTCAATTTTTCTAAAATATTTCTAAAACCTATCAAACTCAAGGTATTTTGCATTAGGAAATATACCTGTTAAGAAACAATTTGCTTACCCTGGGCTGGACTTCCTGTCATCTGTTTCTTCAGTAACATCTTCTTCTTCGGAACTGCTGTCTTGGAAACAAGGGGCTACATGCCAGGCAGTCTTACCAGGTTTCACTATCTCAGCTGCATACGTCTCTGTATCACCATGACCACAAAAGATGACAGGGATGTAATGAATAACCAAGTATTTGTAAACACACTCATTTCATTATTTTCACCATGTTAGTATATGTCTACACTTACAATATCTTAATCATTAAGAATAGGTAGTACCGGAGGAAATCCAAGATGGGGGAATAGGTAAACATTCAAACTGCTACTGTGCACAACAATTTCAAAAGTACAACTAAAAGACAAAACGTCTATCACCCAAAACCACGGGAAAGCCTACTGAGTGCAAGTTCTACAACTAGACAGAAAGAGAAAAGAACAATTTTGGTATAAGCGCTGAAAAACTGAGGTACGGCACACACACAATACAGGCTGGCGGTGGATCTTGGCATGCGGGGAGCATTGCTTTCTTCAATCCGAAGAGAGACAAGCTCCCAATCTCTAAAATCCAGTTTCTGGGGAGAAGCTGGACTGACTGCCATTGGGTCGGAAAGTGAGGGTGGCTTGCTTGCAGAGTGGTGAGCAAGAATAATTGTTTGCTGTGCTGAGGCACGAGACGCGGGGACGTGGCTGGAGAGACAAAAGACAGCTCACTGCCAACCATCGCTGTGTGCCACGTCCTAGCCTAGTGACACCGAGACCCTGCCCCGCACAATCTACAAACATATCCGAGCTCCAAGCAGACACTTTTGCGTATGAAAGGCCTTTTCTATTGCAGTTTAATCTAGCAAACTTGCAACCCGGTGCAGACAGCTCCAAAGCCTCCAAGCTCCAAGCAGGGAGGAGAGGACTGTAGCTCCTATAGGGTGGCCTCAGACAGAAGCTGAACTGCACCCCATTGGAGATCCAGAAGCCAGTGTACCTAGTGGCCAGTGTGAGACACCAGATTTCAACTCTTTACATCCATGTGACACATTCGTGAGGTGGACTTAGTGAGCACTAAAACCCCAATGAACAAAGCCTGCAGCATAAGTGTGTCTCCAGCACTGTAATTCTTCCATTATACACACAAGGAGTTCTCATAGCTAATTGACCTGGAGGTCAATTCCTCCCAGTGTACCAACAGCAATCAAGGTTTAACCACATCAAGATTTTGTCCTCAGCCCACAAAGGGGTGTACCAAGAACAACCACCTCAGGTGATTGGGGAAGCTGAGTTACTCGCCCCTATAGGTCATGACCACACAAAGCCACTCCATGACCACAGGGCAGCAGCCAAAATGCGGAGACAAAGAAGCATGCCACGAATGGGAGAGATGGAGGAAAGTAAACCGCTGGACAACACAAGAGTTCAGAATCACATAAGGTTACTCAAGAATTTTCTAAAAACCGCTGAGAAACTTGAAGAGACCTTCAAGGAACTTAATGAGAATAAAAAAAAAAAAAAAAAAAAAAAAAAAAAAAAGGGAAAAGGACCAGTCAGAAATTACATGTACACTGTCTGAAATAAAGAATATACAGAAACTAAATTGTAGATCAACATATCCCAAGGGTCAAACCAAAGATCTGGAATATGAGGAAGCAAAAAACACCCAACCAGAGAGGCAGAAAGAAAGAAGAACCCAAAAGTGTGAGGATAGTGTAAGGAGCCACTGGGTTGGCTTTAAGTGCACCAAGATCCAGAAGAAGAGAGAGCACAGGATATTGAAGGCCTATTGGAAGAAATAATGACAGGAAACTTTCCCTACCCAGTGAAAGAAATAGACTTATAAGTTCAGGAAACGCACAGAACCTCAAACAAGAGGAATCCAAAGAGGACCACACCAAGTTACATCATAATTAAAATGTCAAGGGCAAAAGACAAAGAGAGAATCCTGAAAGCAGCAAGAGAAAAACAGTTATCTACAAGTGAGTACCATAGGACTGTCAACTGATTTCTCAACAGAAACTATGCAGGCCAGAAGGGAGTGGCAAGAAATATTCAAAGTGATGAACAGCAAGAACCTTTAAAAAAAAAAATTTTTATATTTTATTGATTATTTACAGAGAGGAAAGGAGAGGGATAGAGAGGTAGAAATATAGATGAGAGAGAAACATCAATCAGCTGCCTCCTGCACACCCCTACTGGGGATAAGCCTGCAACTAAGGTACATTGGCTGCCTCCTGCACACATCCTACTAGGGATCAAGCCCACAACCCAGGCAGTGCCCTTGACCAGAATCGAACCTGGTACCCTTTAGTTCCAAGGTGGACAGTCTAAATACTAAGCCAAACCAGCTAGGGCAAAGGAATAGGGGTTTTAACTTTTGTATCATGTTGGCCTTCAGCAGTAACCTCCTGAGATGGAATAACAATACTGGTACTGGTATTTTTCTCTAGGTTCTGGCAAATCATGAAGGATAAAATTTGAAACAACTGGGATATCCATGAAATAGCACATTTACATAAAGCCAAAGTTACCCATTTCTTCCTTTCTCCTAATAAGTCATGGCTTCTCCAAATGCAATTAAGATATGAAACTATTGCCAAAACTGGTTTGGCTCAATGGATAGAGCGTTGGCTTGGGGACTGAAAGGTCCCGGGTTCGATTCCGGTCAAGGGCATGTACCTTAGTTGTGGGCATATCCCCATTAGGTGGTGTGCAAGAGGCAGCTGATCGATGACTCTCTCTCATCGATGCTTCTAACTCTCTATCTCTCTCCCTTCCTCTCTGTACAAAATCAATAAAATATATTAAAAAAAAAAGATATGAAACTATTTAAAAAAAATTTTTTTAAATTGATTTTAGGGAGGAAGGGAGAGGGAGATAAAAACACTGATGATGAGAGGGGATCACTGATCCACTGCCTTCTCCATGCCCTACAATAGGGATAGAAGTCACAACCTGGGCATGTTCCCTTAACAGGAATTGAACCTGGGACCCTTCAGTATGCAGGCTGATGCTCTATCCATTGAGCCAAACCAGCGAGGTCAAGATATGAAATTATTTAAATATATGACTTAGCATATACCTCTTCAACAGAAGGTATGCTACACATTATTCTTTAGTTTCCCTTTAGATGCTAGAAGTTTGCTCCCTTTAAGCAGAAACAATGTTCTACTGTGTTAAATACAGATCCAGGAACATTGCATTTATGGTCATGTGATATAGAACCTACTGTTTATCTAGGTGCAAGAAAGAATAGTTTTCTATATTACACTTAATGTAGGCTCAGTCAGTTAAGTTTAAACTGCCTAGAATGAAACAGTAAAAAAAGAAAAAAAAATACCTTCTTTTACATCTTTTGTGTCTGAATCAAAAAAGGAAAATGTGAACCCGCTGGGCTGCTCGGCCCCCGTCACTGGAGCTGCAGAGACATGGACTTCCTTTGCTTTTTCTTCCTCACAGTCCACATGGGGCATGTCCTTCTGTTCACTGTTATCTTTTGTGGTTTGGAATATTTCTTTTAAGTCCGTTGTGATGTTATAATACATCTCTTTCGACACTGTCGGTAGCTTCTCAGCTTCCTCTCTTTTCTTCTTTCGCTTTGCTTTGCTGCATTGACATAGACATGTGGACCACAATGAAACAGTCAGTTTTTGGGCATCCAGGCATCCAGAAAGTAAAACAACACGGATTACTTTAACTCCCATCCTTCCAAAAACCAGTAGGACCCACATATATACAAGTCTACTTATAACAACACAGCCATAGTCTACCTCTTAACCTGCCAACTACGATTCAGAAATTACACCTACGATAATAGCTTTGAGTAAGAAAACTCACTTACTGTGCCTCAGTTATCTCATCTGTAAAATGAACATGTTAAGCCAGGTGACTTCTAGGGCTTTTTCCAGTTCTAAAATTCTGTAACTTTTACAAAACTGGTGTAAAAGAATTTAGGTATAATTCTGTTTTAAAAATGAATTATAAATATGCTAAGTCTACTTTGTTTCGGGATGAAATTTGTATATTACCATAGACCTGCTCTAAATTTAAGAATATGCTTTTCTCTTTGATCTTAAATTTTCTCTTTGATCTTAAAGTTACACGGCAGTTTCAAATATCAACTTCTTAGCTAATAAATATTAATATCCTTCTTCTTATTAGAGCTGACTCTATAAAACAGAAGTAATATTGGGCCAAAATTTTAATTATTTTACTAAAATAGTAAATGAACAAGATGTCTTAAATGATCATCTTATTGGTGGAGATTATCTCATGGTAAGAAATTTTTAATACTTCTAATCTAGCTACAATTTTTTAAAAATTATATTTTATTGATTTTTTACAGAGAGGAAGAGAGAGGAATAGAGAGTTAGAAACATCGATGAGAGAGAACCATCGATCAGCTGCCTCTTGCACACCCCCTACCTGGGATGTGCCCGCAACCAAGGTACATGCCCTTGACTAGAATTGAACCTGGGACCTTTCAGTCCACACGCAGGCCAATGCTCTATCCACTGAGCCAAACCAGTCTTGGCCAATCTAGCTACATTTTAAGACGGCTATGCCTCCTATGAAAGCAAACTATAAAAAATGGCGTCCTTAAGACAGTCCTAAGTTATTATCATTGAGCTATGATGGAGTGGCTTTCAAGTGTTCCAAAGATCCTTTAAAATCTTTTTTAAAAAAATATATTTTATTGATTTTTGTACAGAGAGGAAGGGAGAGGGATAGAGAGCCAGAAACATTGATGAGAGTCAGTCATCGATCAGCTGCCTGCTCACCCCCTACTGGGGATATGACCGCAACCAAGATAGGTGACGTTACTAACCTTTCTGTCGCTGCATAGGAGGATCTCCTTTCCTGCATTTCCAATAGACTCACTTTTCAACATGACCTTCCTGCAGCCTTATCAGTGCCCATATAGTTCCTAGTAAGTCTTCTTAAGGCTCTTCCGGCTTTTGATAACACCCTCACTGACCTACCAGTTTCTGCCCATTCCTCGGGCTCTGAAGCCACTTTCCCATTTTAGCTTTATGTTACAAAAGCACCCTATTTCCAGGTCCCCAAATCTGTACCAGTGATGTATTGCTGTATTAACAATTGTCTCAAAACTCAACAGCTTGAGCCCTCAAGCATATGTTAGGTTCAGATTTCTCTGGCCAGGAATTTGAGTGCTCCAGTAGGAGTTCTGGCTCAGGGTTCTCGAAGTTGGAGTCAGATGTCAGCTAGGGCGATAGTGTCTGAGGGCTTGAGATCTGCTTGCAAGATGGTTCAGGCACAGGGCTGTTGGTAGGAAGCCTCACTTCCTTGCCTCGCTGGCCTCTCTACTTAGCTGTTTGAGTTCCCCCAAAACATGGCAGCTGTTCCCCAAATGCAGTGACCAGAAAAGGGAAAGAGCAAGGAGAAAATCAACGAGCCTTCTATGCACCTAGTGTCAGTAGGCACTCACCATCACAATTGTCTTATTTCATTAGGTAAAGAGGTGTGGAGTACAACCCACACTCAAGGAAAAGGGGAATTCATCCCACATCTTAGAGAAAGAAGTATCAAAGGATCTTTGGGCCGAGAACGGTTTGGCTCAATGGATGGAGCATAGGCTTGGGGACTGAAGGGTCCCGGGTTCGATTCCAGGCAAGGGCATGTATCTTTTGTATGTGCCCTGACTGGACATTGAATCTGAAACCTTGGCATATCCAGACAACATCCTAACCAACAGAACTGCATGGCCAGGGCTGAGTAATTGTCTCAGCCTGCAGGGTACTTGTAGAAATATGGGAGTCTGAAAGCCTCTCTGTTGTTGACTGTCTTTGTACTTATCCCTTGTAGCTAGAAGTGTATATTTTAATATAATCCTCTTAAAATATTCATGAGTCTCCTGTGAATATTCTTGGGGGTGTTAGACAAAAGCCACATTAGAAATCATTTTGAGGTCAGCTTTTTTAATGAACAGGTGATCTAGCTAAGGAGATGTTCAGAAAGGTGATGAAGTCATTTGCTGGTTTCTGCTTGCTGTTTACCATAAAATCTGAGCAGAGACAGTGAAACTAGAGAAAAAAATTTTGTCAGGAACCAGGATCACATGGTTTTGAAGATTCTTGATCTCAAGAAAATGACATGAAATTTAATAAATGGTTTCTAAGCAAAGATCAAATCTAAGACTCTCAGAAAAAGATAGTCTAAAGCAGCTGTTGGCAACTATGGCACACGGGCTAAATCCAGGTTGCTGAACCACAAGTTAAGAATATTTTTTATAGTTTAAAATGGTTGGGAAAAGAACTAGAAGATGACTTTGTGACATTCATAAATTATATGTAGCAGACGTGTCTTTCTCATAGTTTTATTGAAACACAGGCACCCTCATTTGTACAAAGGCAGAGTGAATTTACTGCAACAGACCATCTGACCCTTAGCAGAAAAGTATGCACACTCCATTCTACATTCCAGCCTACAAGCTTCAGCTTCACATAGCCCAGAAACTTCAGCTGTTCCAATAAGCCTTGAAAGGAGTTTGAAGACGATGTCTCTTAGCAGAAGACCACAGGAAAAAAAAAAAAAAAAGCAAAAATAGTAGAACAATAAATTGATGTCTGTCTCTCAAATCAATATATATAAAAGGATGACACAGTGGAAACTGGTTTGGCTCAGTGGATAGAGCGTCAGTCTGCGGACTGAAAGGTCCCGGGTTCGATTCCGGTCAAGGGCATGTACCTTGGTTGCAGGCACATCCCCGGTAGGGGGTATGCAAGAGGCAGCTGGTCGATGTTACTCTCTCATCGACATTTCTAGCTCTCTGTTTCTCTCCCTTCCTCTCTGTAAAAAGTCAATAAAATATATTTTTTTAAAAAAAGGATGACACAAAAGGCAGAGTCAAGAACCATGGATAATTATTCTAATAAAAGATCTCGCAACATTTGGCTGCCTAGATTTCAGAGCTCCTATGGGCCAGTGACTCTTTCTGCCTCCTGCTTTCTCCGCTGAGAAGAAGTGCTTACATTGGACTGGTTAATCTATGCTCATCCCACCGTGACATGTTCCCAGTCTTCTAATCAATAGGCTCACTCGGGTGTTACACTAACAACAGGTAAGCCTGATCTGCACTTAGATCTTATTTGGAGGACAACATCCTGGATTTTAAACTAATAATGTAAAGAGCTGAGACTGTTGAGGGAGTCTAGAGAGAAGGAGAAAATATTATGCATGTGGTAGGAATATAAACAATTTGTGGCCAGAAGGTGGACTGTCCTGGTTTTAAATATGTCCACAAATTCCTCAATACTTCTCTCCTCAAGAGATGGCACTTAAACTCCCCATGAAAGTATCAGACGACAGTGATTTGGTTCAAGAAAATTAAATAAGCCCTAGCCGGTTTGGCTCAGTGGATAGAGCATCATCCTGTGGACTAAAGGTTCGATTTCCATAAAGGGCATATGTCCAGATTGCGGGCTCGATCCCAAGTGTAGGACTTGCAGGAGGCAGTCAATCAATGATTCTCTCTCATCATTAATGTTTTTATCTCTCCTTCCTCCCTCTCTGAAATCAGTAAAAATAAGAAAATAAATAAATAAAAAAGATTAAATAAGACTTATATGTCAGTGTGTGACTTCTAAGACTAGGAAATAAAATACCTGATGGCTTCCTCCTTCTGTTTTCAGTCACAAGGTCTGGGGAAGCCAGCTGTCATGTTACGAGGGCACTTAAGCTATTAGAGAGGCCAACAAAGTAAGGAACCGGCCAACAGCCATGTGAATGAGCTTTCTTGGAAGCAGACCTTACAGGCTCAGTTAGACTTTCAGAGAACAAAGTCACAGGCAATGTTTTGACTGTAACCTCCTTTAAAAAATGTTTTTATTAATTTTTAGAGCAAGAGGGAGGGAAAAGGAGAGAAATATCGATGTGAGAAAAAAATATCGATTGGCTGCCTCACGCACATACCCTGACCAGAGATTAAGCCTGCAACCTGGGCATGTGCCCTGACCAGAAACCGAGCTGGCAATCTTTGGTGTGTGGGATGACGCTAAAACAACACAGTGACACCAGCCAGGGCTTGACTGCAACCTCTTGAGAAACCCTGGCCAGAACCACTTAAAGAAGCTGCTCCCAAATTTTGGACATAGAGAAACTTTGAGATAATAAATATTTCTGGTTAAAGGTGCTAAGTTTTGACCAATTTGTTTTGCATCAATAGATAAGCCTATATGTAAATAAAAACTAATATATTATACAAAATATCCCTTACTTATGTATCATTGTGATAATTTTAAATAACATACCAAATTTTTATACTGCAGGGAATATTTATGTTGGTTCTATTGATACTTGAAGACATGTCCAGGCCTAAACCCTGCAAACTGATTTACCTTCATTGGAAAAAGGACTTGGTAGAGTAGTTAAGGACCATGTAACAAAGGGACTACTTAGGATTATCCAGGTCAGCACTAAATGCAGTCACAAGTATCTGTATAATAAGGCACAAAGATGACATACACACAGAAAAGAGGAGAAGGCCATGTGAGGGTGGAGGCAAAAGATGAAGCAATTTAAGTAT